ACTTGAGTCTTTCATTCGCTTTGGYCTTTTGCTCATGCTGAACTTTGCATAAAATAGATTGCTTAAACTATGCATCCAAATTTGAAGGGTTGAAGTTCAAGCTGCTAACAGAGTTGTTCTTCAAAATGACTATATTTGGGAATTATCTAGAAAATGCATTTATATGAGCCAGTGCAAACATCTAATTAAAATATACTTTGATTTTTGAAATTTATGGGAGACCCTGCCATTCAGTTCAACATGAGTATAATTTTCCAGTGACGGTTGAGTTTGTTACTTTGTATTTAATTTAACATAAGCTGGAAATAAAATAGGCTTGAAAAATTGAGTAAAGCTTGCAAGTTGTAAAAAAGGCTACCTTGCACCTTCAGTAAAGTATCTATAATATACTTCAGTAGAGTATCTATAGTATTGGAAAATTGTGAATAAAGACAAAAACCTGTCAGTGCATGTATATCAAAAAAAAAAAAACAACCAAACAAACAAAAAAAAAACGGTTTGCAAATATAGACTCCTCTCTACCCATTTAAATATGCCAGAAGTTTGCTAGACCATATATATTTCATTCCTAACAGTAGCACTGTTATCTTTAAAGCATTCAGTTAAAGAGGGTATGGAGCTGGAATACTTTGTGCAGAGTAAAAGCCAATAAATGAAGTACAGAGGTGGGTCCTTCTGCTCTCCCTCATGTGCAGATTGCTGCTTCACCAGGGAATGATAGCTGACATATTTCCAGCCATAGTAAATAGCTCCCAGGATTTTCAAATGAAGTTACACTTTGCTTTTTATGCAGGCCAGARCCTATACATTGAATAAATCATCAGAAGCGTATTCTTCCATTTCTTCTAAAGAGAGAGCCATAGTGSTCTGTATTTTATTGATTGTATTTGCAGGGAAAAAATTGAATCTGTTCCTTGTCATGGCCCYTGAATCTTATGTCATAAAGAACAGAAGAAAAGAAAAAGATGGATGGAGTTCAGTGGGATTAGCCAGAAAGAATCGTGTTGCCTTTTGTGCCATGATGAATTTCACTTTTTTCATCTTGTCCATGTCAAGTGAAAGAGAGCAGTTGAAGGACTTTGAAGAAGCAATCTTCAAAGTCTTCTTTTAGCAGAATTGGAAATAAGCTTATTGGAGAGTTGTCTCAAATTAGATTTTCTGCCAATTATCAGTCAAAAGCTCTTCGGTGTGCAGAGGTTAATTCAAAAGGAAAKGGAAGAGTTTCTAGAACATACACATCTCAGTAAATGTGCCAATAAATATTTCTGTTTTAGTAAGATCAGGTTTTTGAATAAAAGAAAACCAAGTGAAATCCTCACTTACATGTAAAGCGAATAGAAATTCATTTCTTCGAATTAAGGTGTTCTAAGAGGTGCTATGGTCTATWCTGTGAGCTAGTCAAAGTGGCACTGCATTGATTTTAATGTGCATACTAAGAATCACCAGATCCTAGAAGGAACTATTTAAAAAATGTTTTATTGTTGTTTGTGATGTATTTACTTGCTTCAGGATGTCAAGTTTCAAATCTATTGCTGCAGGCTTATAAACAGAATCAACAGGTATTGGTTTGAAATTGTATATTATCAAAGAAGCTGCATTCAGAAAAGCAAGGGAGCTGATATTTACCTGCCTTTTGAAGTGCAGAGTGTATTCTTTTGCATCAGCAAAAATGGCAGTAAAAGTTGCAGATAAAGACATGAGAAAATAAATTAGTAATCTTAGAATTCTACCCTCTAGAATCAACCCTTGCTTCATTTACTGATACGAGATTAGTCAACACAAATTGGATATTCCCTACGTGCAAGTAGGTAATGAAAAAAATAGAAACAAACTAACAGAAAAGTGAGCAAACTTCAACTGTAAATAGAGAAGTGTTCCGGTAATAGTATTCTAATGATCATACAGTGAATATTTACATAGCATTCTCATCAAATAAACTGTGTGGTTGTTCCAAGTATGGGACAAATTATTTTCGTCAAGATGCGAAAATTAATTAAGAGGAAGCTGATGTGTGTTCAAGCTGACAATTATGCTGTTAAAATTTATTTCTGAAATGGCACGAAGGCACTTAACTGTTAATTTCTGGAGTTCAGCAAGATTTGTTTTTCAGTGTTTGGAAAGAGATATGTTACATACTGTTATTAGCTCTTTATTCCATATTTTATTCATATTATTTATGTGTGGTCTTGTTCCTTGTTTTGAATTGCTCGTTATTTTCAGTCATGCAGACTGGAAATATTTCTTCACAGATGCAAGTCTTTGCTTTTTTTTTCTTTTTTTTTGTTTTTTTTTTGAAGAATGTTTATCCTTTTTTAAAAAAGTCTAGAGAGAAATCTGGTAGAAATTTGGAGAGAGGAGGCATWGAAGGGAGTGGGCAACTGGGACATAAATAAGAAAAAAGTCTTGACACTTGGACATCACTGCTTCACAGATATTACAAACAGCATCTAGAGATCCATATTTCTTTCTTTATAGCCTAATCTCAACTAGTCTAACAAAGTGCTGAAATTATCTCCTTAGTTCCTCACTTATGTATATAAATGCATGTGAGATATATATCTATGTATATATGGACTGTATTACAAAGACACCCTTTGCAACAGTACTCAGAGACACCCTTTGCAACAGTATCTGTAGATGTGTAGTAATATACTTGATATATCTTAATGTTGAATACAGTTTATTTGTTTGTAAGACTTCTTGTCTGAAGGAAATACTCTCTTTAGGTATTTTACTCATTTCATATCAAAGGAGAAAGTTTCAAGGGATCTATAGCCAGAGATATAGAAAAGCAATTATGAGAACCACTAAATTAAAATAGATTGTTTTTCCTTCATTAAATATTTTGGCAAAAAGGGATATCATTGGCCTGAGCAGCGCAATAAAGTCATTAACAGATTTGCAGCTAGGGATTTCCATCCTCCCAAGTTCCAGTTCTGGAGCTTTTTCTATCCCACATTATGGACAACAGTATTTTTAAAATTGGAGAGGGTTTTCTAAGACTGCATCTAAGTCAGGTCTCAAGGACATACTATTGCCTTCTTTATATTTTCATGGGGCTTGGGAATCCAGGAAGGACCCTGAAATTCAAATGTTTTGTCAGTGGGAACGTTTTTGAGAATTGTTTTCTGTCCATCCAATGCTTTGGGTCTCCTAAGCTCCAAATCCTGCATTGAATTAGAAATTAGGCTTGTGCTTGCATTGGGCCAAGTGCTCCATAAATCAGATGAGGAAACAGTGACCTGATGTAAACAAAATTAAAGTATGAAAGGAAATTCTTATTTCAGTAAGTAAATGACAAAATCTCTAATAACACCACGGATCCACTTTGGGAAGTAAGATCTGAAAGGAAGTTCAATTTGGAAGAATTTAGAAAGATGGTACAGAATGCTTAATTACACAGTAGATCAAACTGGTTCTAAAAGACGTAATAGAACAGTAACCACTTTAAAATGATAATTAAGTTCTTATGGTACCCAAGGGAGTTTTTCCTTTGTCAAGTAAACAGATATATTTTTTATAATTGCCTAATTGACAAAGAGAGAAGTATATAGTACAAGATTATTGATTACAGGAAGTTTCAAGAGTYGGAAATCGAATGTGATATTTCTCTGTAAAGCTGTATCTTGAGAGAGTAATATTCTTTTAAAACATTTTTTTGCAAAACAGCCAGACCTTTCTCCAAAACACATGGTGTAGCRATTTTCTCTTTACCCTTTAAAAGCAAGCCTATAAAATTCAATGTTACCATCTCACTTCTCTAGTACCTGTAACAACCATGCTTTGGAAATTGCCTATCCAAAGTTAACTTTTAGCTTGTCCTTATTTTTATTATTTATGTTTTTCTTCACAGTGGTAATGGGTTAGAAAGAAGACCTAGGTACAAACTTTTGTACCCCACTGCCACTGATCTGTCTTAAGCTTGAACTGTTTTCAGTTCATCTAGACTTGCCTGTTTACAAGAGAACTGAAACTTCTTGCATGCAATACTAAAGTGTAAGCAGTGATTAAATTACAGTATTGCTTTTCTTAGGATCTGTGTCCACATCTTCTGTTGGTTTCAATTTATTGATTTATTTATTTTCTCAAGTTCTCGTTCCACTGTCAGTGGCTGCTGTATCATTATTAATCTAGGTTTTTCAGAAATGCTATTTATAATGCCATTTGGCAACGCAAAGGAAAGGATTAGTGACCCAACCAACAAAAGAAAAAAATTTTGCTCTTTCTAATTAACTGAATGCCAGCTGCTGCCTGACATGAATAAGATTTTTTTTTTTCAAAGTTAATGAGATCTTAACAGCTGATTAGATTATGAGGGAAAGAATGGTTATCTGCACCATAATAAATTTCATTATTTGTTCAATTGCTTATTACTATAGCACTGTTCATAGGCTGGTGAGYGAGCTTCCCATCATCTGTTTTTCACAAACATATTTTAAAATAGGACATGCTGAAATGTGYATCTGTGTGGTTAACACAAGCATCAGCTGTGAATAAGAATTTCTGTGTAACTGGCCACTTARTGTTTACCTGATCATGCTTAAGAATATGGATGTCTTTGTATGTTTAGCTCCTTGGGAAACTGAGCCAGTTCATAAATATTAATGGTCACTCTGCTGATCAGAGTGTGAGCCATCACAGCCACAAACATGAGGATCTTGTCACCAWGTAGTGCTAGATGGGTGCTCATGTGGGTCCCATCCTAATTTTAGCCTTCTGATACTTCTTGTTGCTTTTTTTTTTCCCTACAGAATTCTGTTACAACATCTCTTCTTCTGTTGTTATTACATTAAAAGGAGAGTGTAAGGAACGTAAATTTGCCAATAAAGACAGGTGTATTTCCTTAAATTTCCTGCTTCATAAGACAAAATATTTAATCTTGTTAATAAACAAAATTATTTTAACAAAATAATTCAACAATTCTGTTTTCTCTTTATAGTCATTACTACTCGTCTACAGATGTAACTGAGAAATACCAAATATATATTTCTTTTCAACAGCRACAATAGTACTGAATGAACTCAACTGGACAGCAGCGCTGGATGATGTTTTCAAGCGGAACAGAGAAGAAGACCCCACCTTACTGTGGCAGGTTTTTGGCAGTGCCACTGGCCTCGCCAGATATTATCCAGGTAAATGAAGTCTTCTAAAGAACTGTCCTGTGGTGCTGAAATGCAATCACATATTGCCTTAAAAAAACTTCTGAATGATTTACAAGCAATAAAAGATAACCACAGACAACTTTCTCCTATAGCTGCTCCTTTCTTATATGAAAAATATGTCAAAATCTATGAAGTTATTCTGGTATGGACTGTATAGCTAGGTGCATATTTTGTRGTAGAAGGAACAATGACAGTGTTTTCTGAAAAGTTAAACATYTACATATTCATCTTGATTAATACAATGTGTGTTATTTAAAATATATTTATCAGTGAGATTTTTTTTTTGAGCTGAACAGCTTTAAAATTAGCAAATCAGTAACTAAATAAGACAACCTTGACCTTAAAGTCATTGAAAATACAATTTCACAATGGCATGTGCATATCTGGCAGAATCCATAGATTCAGACAATTATGATTTTGCCATTAGAGCTAAGGTCAATTAGTGCAACTTGATTATTTTAACCAGCATCTTTTCCATCTGTCAAAGCATCCCATTACTGAGTTACAGCAATAATTTTAACTAAGGGTATATTTTAATGAGTATATATATATGTGTATATATGTGTGTTTGTGTATATATATATATTATATACAACATATATATTATATTGTAATGAGTATATATAAGTTAATGAATATTATATATATTTTTATATATTCAGTTATTTCATATATTTTATATTCACCACCAAATGGAAAGCCTTTTTTTTTTTTTTTTTTTTTTTTTTTTNTTTGTAGGCATACTGCCATTCTTGATAAGTAATGTTGTTACCACTAACAGAATTGTGTGACCACTAGATACAAGCTAATTGTGTGCACTGCCTTCTATCTTAACCACGACTGGCTAAGGAAAAACTTGGGATTCTTTCCTTTCTGTCAATAGATCTCTGGTATTTCTGAGAGTGCAGAAAAATATTTTAAAGCACAATTGCTAACTCTGGCAGAGAAGCTGCCTCTGTCTATTTTTGAGGAAGAAGTATTTCATAGTGCTTGTATCATGTTTGTATTATTGCCTAAAGGACAATGAAATAAGTACAGTGAGGTGATGCAGAAAAATAATATTGAAAATACTCATTTCATATTTCATCTATTCCTGGGATTCTGTTTCAGGGCTTGTGAGGTCTGTTCATATTAGTGTATGTTTGGAGTTACTGTTTCTCACAGTTCATTATATGGTGATGTTTTCAAGTGCTAGGAAAGAAGAGTTTCTAATATTCAGATCAAACTATAATCAAGTGGTAGTTATCATTAAATCAGGTAGGATTAGAATTTCTGCTCCAGGGTACCCAGAATCTTAAAAATTCCTTCCCTTTCCCCAAAAGAAAAGATGTATGAGGCACGTAGTGTGGGTCTGGATACTCCTTGATATTTTAGCTATAYTCAGCTGAGTGAGCCCCAGAGATAGCCTTCAGGGCACATCATGAAGACCTAGATGTAATGACAGAGAAGTATATTGGAGAAAAACATCTATCACAATTACCAGGCACTGAAATAGGATTTCAAAGACAGAGCCATAAAAACTATTCCTGCACAATGTTTTCACATTGAAAGAAATTGGAGATGATTGGAGACTGCTATGAAACTGCCTGCTTCCTTCAAGAGTGTTACTGATAGGCRTAGGCTTATAGGGCATTGAGCCATTTAGTCATTTAGTGGTTTGTGTTAGCCGGTAAAGTACAATTCCTTGATATATCTGAACTGGATAATACCCCAACACTTTTACACACGCACAGAGTAATGTGGAGCCATCTGATGTATGTTTTTTTTTTTTTTTTCCTTCCCACTTCCTGCTTATAGCTTAAAACAGTAAGGCTTTGATTAAGTTTTTGTGCACATTTTTCTATCTTTCTTAATTTCTTACATTGCTGAAACCCATCTGACACACATAGATGTTCTGAGAAGGAAATCAAGTTTCATGTAGTTAAATAGATGCTTTTCGTATTTACTTTTTGAAAATGATCTTACATATTAAGATCTGATTATGTCCAATATATATTTTAAAAATTTGCTTCATTAAATTGGTCTTATGTATACCTGCTGCAAAAGGATGGTTTTCTCCATAGTTATGATATTTGTGAAGGATTTGGACTTACCAAAAATCAAATGTAAAACAAAACTGTTTTCAAATTATTAGCTTCAACATATCTGCTGTCTTGCCTCTCCAGACAGTCAATCTTTAGTTACCTCCAAGCTATAGGAGATGTCTTCAATCATGAGGTTCTTGAACTAATGCATTTATCTGATAATATCCCACTTCCTTGAGTAATGGGTTGCCATATCACTTCTGTCCTAATAGGCTCTTAGGCTCGCCTTATCACCATGGTAACCAATAGCATTAAGGSATCATTCTGCGAGTGACTCTGTGGGTGGAAAGTATGTGTGAAATATTAGATTATTTTTCTATTACATGTATCCTGTTGTGCCCTATGTTCATGCTGTTGTAGGCACTTGGGGCACTCCTCTAGCATCTTTTATAATCTTCAGCAGTGCTTTGTCTGACTTGTAGGTGCATTAATGCTTCCTTCTCTGTAACAGTGGAACAAGACAGATGTCCGACTACAACCATGTTGAAATAGCATTTAGATTAGTCCCTTTTCTCAAACATCTATTCTTTATAGGCTTAAGGTATTAGATATAGTGGAGTACAAATAGGAAGCTTCTTCTTACATTAAGTAGATAACATGAATTTATTTATGGTTGAAATTTATGGGTGGAATTTATTTATGACTGCTTCTGATGGAAGCAGTCATAAAAACAWTTTTTTCACTTCCTTTATTGTGATGATGTAAGTCCATCAAATACTTGTTATGCCAAATGTTATTTTTTATTTAGGAGGAAGTTACAGTCTATATGAAATGTCATCTTGGGGAGCTTTTTGATGTTTTATTTTATTTTATTTTTTGTTTTGTTTTGTTTGTTTGTTTTGAAGAAGAGTGTATGCAATGCAGACAAGCCGGATTTAGAAAGACACATATGTAGACTGATGATCACAGATATATAAGAAAGTTAGATGTAAGAAAGATATATAGAAACACAGATCTATCTGTCTTTCCATGTATCTACAGTGACAGCAGATTCACTGCCAGGGGGTCTGTACAGCAGGGATGAATGCAGCAATCTATACCTTGAGAAATTCCCCAATAGAAACATCAAACACTGGGCTAAGATCCACTTCTCCTGTTATAAATGAACGGATTACTTGCTTCATTCCTTTTCTTCTTTTAACTATTTTTCTCTGGAAGAAACTCAGCACRGCTCTCATTCTGAACCATCAGGAATGTCAGAGAATTCACAATGCAGGATACCTCCCCAGGCCTTGAGCCTTATTTTCTGCATATTTCAATTAGAGCCTTAAACAGCTTGGTATGGCTTTCCTTATCTAAGCCTCTCCTTCATCTAATTGCTTAACCAAGTGTTCCTTAACTAACCATAATTTTATAAATGAGAGAGACAATTTACTGTCAGCRGTTCTGTTATTGAATAACAACTTACTGTGAAAAGTTTTCTCTATTTTCCCTCCATTAGCACCGTCTCATCATTCACTGAGAACCATTGACTGCATCCTCATGGCAGATAGCTATAAAATATTTCAAGAACATTTRTGAGAACATTCATGCATAGATATTCAACTGTTAATGAAAAAAAATCCACATTTCTTTTTGCATAGCTTTTACCAATGTGGTGTTAGATGGAGTGATGATGGTTGACTGTAGTGTATTGTACCATTATTTTTATAAACTTTGATTATCATGCTGGCTGGAGCATTTAAACAATCTGGAACATACACAGTCTGTGGGACCTGATGGGAGTCACCRTGACTGCTGGGGGAGGTGATGGGTGCCACAAGGTCACAATTGTCTTTGAAAGGTCATGGTGATCAAGGACTAGAAGAAAACAAATATGAAACTAATAACTTTGAGTAGTTTTATTCTAAAATGTGAAAGTGGTTCTTTATATATATTAGTGGGCAGAAGAGAGAAGGTTGAAGGAGTTGCACATATTGGGGGGTTGGAATAGAAGATCTCCAGAGGTCCCTTCAAAACTCAACCATTCTGTGATCTGTGATATTGGGACCTTGTAGCGTGGCCTTGAACCCAGACCCTGAGGAGGCTGCAGAGACACTGTTTCATGCAGGGGTCTAACAGCTTCATATTTAAGGAACAGACTGATTTCATAATCCACAGGCACAGGCAGATTTGTGTGGGACTACAAATTATTCTTCAATCCTGTATGTTTTCCTTTCATCACTACCCTCCTGCTCAGATTGGGGAATATTTGCTGATTTAAAAAAAAAAAAAAAAGAGTGACAGAAACCTCGTTCTCTATAGTAGCTAGTTGCATTGGCTGGTTTATTGAAGGAAGGAAATTATATATATATAAAAATAATATATTAATATATAAATACATATATATTTATATATATGTATATGAATATATATATAGTCCTTTCCATACACCTGTGCAGAAACCAGTAACAGCCATGGAGTGGCTATTGTTTGCGGTCCATAGGGAAGCTGCTATATCTGGTCTAATGAAGTTGGGCTGCAAGTCCTGGAGATTCTGCATAATGCTCCCTACAAGCCACAGATGACCGTTCCCTCTATCATTAAACATATAACCGCTACTCATTTATTTAAAAGCATGAAATATTATAGGTTCTCCTGCATAAAATATGCAGTTCTCCAGAGGTTATGTTAGATATTTTCTAAAGATTTCATCCATATGTTATGACATCAAATAACACTGAAACACTTTCTCAGTAGCACTGTTCTTGCTACTTTCTTGTGAATTGAAATAGAAAAAGAGACTGTCTACCTGCAAATTTATTGCAGGGCGCAAACCTGCAGTAAAATTTTTCCATTCTGTTTAACTATTAAGTAAATACAGTTAATGAAAACAAGAGGAGAAAATAGTAAATTTGTATTAAATGCTTTTAATTTTAACAAAGGATGTTTGGATTTTTTTTTTTTTTATGTAGCTATATTTTTTCTCCCATTATTATTTTACTGAAATCTTTTTCTTTCGATGAATTGCAGTATCAGACCTCCATTTCTTTCATGGTATTACAAGAATATATTTGTTTTGTAAGGAATGTCATATATACATTTATTAGCCCTTTGATGGCTGTTACTCTTGCACAGCATTTTGTCATAAACGCTTTTTTWWWWAAAAAMAATGCTTAGTCAGCAGTAGTCTCTGCAAAATTTTAACTTTTTCTTTTAATRTTAAATTAGTTTGTTACGARCAGGTAACAGTGGGTTCCAGCCCACCTTCTTTTCATCCTGTAATCAGTCCTCTGAGTTCTGGTACTTGTAGTCTCTATGTAGACAGAAAAGTGCTTCAGTGTAAATCAGACTGCAGATTAAATTTATGATTAACTAGGGAGCTGTGGACAAATTTGTTATCCCAAGATAAATTAATTTAATTAAAACAGTTTAATATAGCTTGACAGATGTTAAATTACTTACATTTTTTAAGGCATCTATCTAGCTAATTTTACTGCTAAGTTTTAGAAAGCAGAAGTTTGAAAGAACAATTTTTGATCAAATTTGGGGAGGCTAAGTTTGGAGGTGTAAGGTGCTAACTAGCCAGTTCCTCCTTTAAACCTGAAATTCTTCTTAAAATTACAGAGCTAATGGGAATTATAATTGTTAATCAATTCTTCATAACAACCCTTCAATGGAAAGCACATTATTTTTACTTTAGCAATTACTAATTAAACAGATTCAAAAGTATTTTGTATTTTTGTGTCTTCTGCCAAAGACCATATTAATCACTTCCTCACTTCTCTGTTTATTTTGTTGTACAAGGATAAGATCCTTAATAAAGGATACATTTTGTTTTGGATTGCAGACAGCTTAACCATGCATTTATTTGCACCTAAATATGATCTAGAATCTTTCTAGACATGTCAATAAATAAGCTGAAGAAAATTTGGCTCCCAAGACTTACTAGAGTGTAAAACCACACCTTTGATTTAGATTAATGTTAAATGTGAGTCACTGTTCAGTCAGCAACACCAAATCTATTCTCAGGGAATTTTCCTATTCAGGGAAAATATGAAATAATATTTGCCGCAGTGTAATACAACAAAGAATACTTACTAGATACTAAATGGAGAAATGCACAGCTAAGGAAAAGCGAACACTCAAGGTGATTATTCAGAAGAATACTTTTGCCCATAAAGTCTTCTGAAAGACTAAAGTCTTTGATTAAATACAGATAGAGAAGAGCTAGTATTATCTCCTTTCCTCAATAAAAAAATAAATAAAAAATAAAGATCTTAAACATCTTTCCACGTGTCAGCAAAGCAGGTTTCACTCAAGTGATGAAGCACACCCTGCTTAGACAAACTAATAATGGAACAGCTTTAAAAATCAATTTCTAATAAAATAAAATGGGAGCTCTTCAAATGAAGGACTTGCTGTGCACAGCTGCTCTGGTGTTAAGCGTTAATGCCAAGCAATCGTCTTGCTGCCGTGATATTGAACTCTCCAAAGAAAGTCATTACTGAAGCAGATAAAGGGATAGAAAGCCCAAAGAAATACATACAAAATGAATCAAAAGCTTTGAAAAACTAAGACTTCAACTTCTTTTTTTTTTTCAAAAGATTTTCTGATTATTGTCATAGCTGATAGTTCCTGTTAAGAACTGAACATTCAAAGGAGACTTTAGCATAGGAAGAAAAAAAAATGGTTCAATTAGCACAGAAATGGTACATTTATTCTTTCTGCATTGAAATAAGTCTCTTTAAGCATCATTAACTTTTCTTTCCTTGACATCTTAGAAGAAAGGGCATGATCTGCAGTGGTTATGATCTTGCCATTAGGATATGGAAAACCTTTCAACATATTTAGTTGGGCTTCATTTCTTCAAAGCTGTTGTGCTGAATTTTGCAGTTGTGTAAGCAGATCTTTCAGTCATAGGATTACTTTGCATTTTGTAGTTTTATTGAGTTAGTGGACATTGCAGCCAGGGTTTGTTTATATTATCTTTCATGAGCYTTGCTAATGAAAATTGAAATTTCCAGAGTTTGCACTTATAGGAAAGAAAACAAAAACAAATTTAAGTTCTCTTACGTTCTCAGGATACTCCAGCCTGCTGTGAAAGAATACTGAGTTTAGGTGAAACAAATGGGAGCAAAATATATATGGAGAATGAGATTCAGTATGTGCATTCAGAGGTGGAAATGTTTGAACTGAGATAACAAAAAGACATTTGAAGGACCATTTTTTTTCTGTTTCCTCATGTTACAAATTCAGATTGCTTTCCTTTCCTTTGACCCCGAATTAGGTTCATATGTTAGGACAAAAATAAGTAAATTCTGTCTTGGGTAGAGCAGAGCAAAGCATATTGTAATGAGAAATACTAGTGGMTATTAAGCAATGACTATTTATTATTTTTATATACCATGTCTTATCATTTTTGAGCTTTTGTTGAAATATTATTGAGTAATTCTGCAAAGCTGCTGTTGTCACACCAAACAAAACAGAGAATTTCCACCATACATGAGCAGAAGTAAAAAAATGGCATAACTTCATTGTACTTGAAATATGGTTAGACCAACATCTCCATAGGGCAAAGAGCAGAAGGGATATTAAGCCAAATGAATAATTTATAAAATATCAAATCAAACCATATGCCAGACAGGAAAATCATCAAAGGAGAACATGACTAAAGCATAATGTATGCAACGGAGAACTGTTTGGGGCTGACATAGTTCAAAGAGAACAGTATGCAACAGAGAAACGCACACTGGAGCTGACATCTTGARCAAAGTCCATGAGCCAAATTCCAAGGCATCTGTTTGCGATGTGTGTTTAAGCATTAGATTATATATAAGGCTCAGCGTGAAGTTGTTAGCTTTTTTTGTGTGTATTTCRTGTTTATTTTCATCTTAAGGCTGTAGCCAATTTCCCCAAAGGCTGCAGAGGGTGTTCAATATGCAGGCCAGTGGCAATGCATGTTTCCCAGAGGTGAATATCTAATCACTTTCTGTATTATTATAAATCTCTAATTATTTTTAYATTGAGAGCACTTGTCAGCTTCTGAAAATTATAAAACATGAAATCAGAGTAAAATAAAATTAGATCATTGGAGATCAATAGGAATTGTCCATTGGGAATTTTACTTTCTCAGTAATGGTGGTTCAAATAAGATCCTTAAAGTCAGGATGTATCTAAAACCAGTCAATAGGTTTGAGACCATTCAAAGCCATCTAAAATTAAAGTGCAAATCCAGAGAGATATCTTCGGATGAGTGAATAATTTAGTCAAGTTGACTCTTGAGGATGAAATGGGTTTTCAGCACTTCCTTGGTGTGAATGAAATTTTAGCTAGTAAATGCTGAGTCCTTATTTGTTCAGTCATGCAGACACTTGCTTCCAGATTATATTTACTGTTGTAGAAAACATCATAAAAATCAATAGAACTACTTCTGTCAGCAAACATTACTTTCCTTAATTAGTGTTTGCATGATCCAGCACCAATTAGTATCTCATGAAAATTTCCACAGTCACAGTGTAAACGCAGTAATTTTTGCTCCCATGGAAACTCCAATACGCAGGTGCTTGTTATGTATATTTAAATTGAAGATAATGTATTAATTACAAAAAACTTCATCTTGACATGTGGAACAGAAAAATTATTCCAAAACAGCTGTTTTAAAGAAGTGTAATACAAAAAAAAAATGTTCATAAAAATCTTCTACAGAACTCTCTGAAGTTGAGGACTGTCTTTCCCTACCTGCACATATTGAAAAGGAATGCACAAGTTAAAGAGCACTCTTAGAGTTTAACTGATTTGCTCAAACTTCAGTCTAACTCTTAAAATGAAAAAATGCAAATCGTCATTACACTTATCTGAAAAAGTCATAGCTAAGATACTAATAGTGTGCTGAATGTTCCCATTTCCCTCCCCAACCCCCTGAATTTTTGTAATCCTTTAGAAAGATGTGGACATGGACATGTTCACAGTATGATGAATCAAGCTTTGGGGCTGTCTTTCCTACCAATGTGATATTTAGCTTACTAATACAGGTAAAAGGGGTGGTTTGGACTTCATTTTAAGCCAARGAAGTGTTCAAAAAGCGAGAGCAAGACTGAGTTATGTGAGTCTTCAAAGACTCACCTGCTCTGAAGAGTGTGACAGAAAGGAGATCTTTCATACTGAATGAAATGACTAAATGTATCCAATCCCAGTTCTTATTCTATCCAAGTCATTGAATACGTAAAGTATTGGATACTTAGATTACTGGAAAGGAAAAAAAAAAGTCTCAAAAACTGTATTCTTTCCCTTCTGGCAACTGCAAAGTCCCTTATTGCTTTAGATCCCAAAGCACTTTGAGTTGTCTAGACTTAGTTGTAACTCCAGCAATGTCCATCTGTCTGTAGAATTTGAGGATTTTCTGGTATGCAAAAGAACATAGTGTTTTTTGTTGGTGTTATAATGATAGAAGTCTTGGATATTACACTGTGTTTAAATATTGTAGTTGCTGATATGCCCATTCAGATCATATAAATACATATACATATGTCAATCATACATATATTTGAAAAATAGATTGCTAAAATACCTGCCTTACCTATATAGAATGCTGATATTTGTTCAGTCTGTGACCTTGGTGCATTACAATGTTAAGCTTTTGAAGTACTTCAGGAACAAAAAGAATTTATTATATATATATATATATTTTAACTTTTTTAGCTTCCCCATGGGTAGATAAAAGCCGAACTCCAAACAAAATAGACCTGTATGATGTTCGCAGAAGACCATGGTAAGCTTTTTTTATAGCGTTTTAAAGCAAATGCATCTCTCACTTTCTGGGTAAGATTTCAAAAACTACATTTTTCTAATTATTCTTTGCGGCTAATAGTCCTCTCTTTTAAATATCATTGCTTGCTTTCTTTCAAACCAGTTAATTGTTCCCTCTAGGCAATATTTGCATTATACTCTTCCTTGTGCAATTTCCATATACAATGTTATACTGTTGCATTACATAGACCTTTTCATTATGAGGATGACTATGAGATAAATAGGAAGACAAAGCAATTAAATACTTAGGTTAAGAGCCAAAATGAAATGTAATTCAGGTTATCAGGCTCAACCCTTCTTCCAGACGTTCACCAATGTTTACAAATGTGCCTCATGGTTTACATGAACACAGCAAGCACCAGACCTCAGACAGCAAGAGAGCCCTGCGCAGGCGATGCTCTTGCCTCGCACTGTTTCTCAGAATGTTTTTCTGTTAGTCTCTCAAGGCACAATGCATATGGATACCAGGATTCGTACTAATTCTATGTATGGACAAAATATCTTTGTATGGACAAACTATCTTCCCCGAAGCTGGGCTGATGCAGTATTTCCATTCACTTGCCATCAAAATCTTTAGCTCTGAGAGAGAATTCACCCTTTTCAGTTACTGGCATCTGAAAATAATGTTTTTTGATCAGTATATTCTACTTCTAGGCTTTACCATTGCTGTTTGAATTTTGGTTTGCTTAGAACTAATAAGGGAAAATGGCCCATGGTTTTCTACTAGGTGCAATGGGAGGATGCTGCTGGTTCAGCTGGCCTTGGTTCAGAAATGACAGATTTTCTAAGATCAAACACAATTGTAGTCTTTTCAAATGTGTATCATTTTCAAATGTATATCTTCTTATTTCAGGTATATCCAAGGAGCTGCCTCTCCCAAAGACATGCTTATTTTAGTTGATGCGTAAGTGTCTGATGAATGGATATAGGCTTTAGAGAGAAAAAAAATACTTCCTATCTATTGCACAAATTGGTATATGCTGAAAAAGGTAGAGAGAATTAGGAAGCCCTTATATGCAAGCGTAAAAAATCTTGTGTATGAACAAAATAACCACATAGGAAAAAACAGCCCAAACAAAACCTGCAAGTTGTTTAAATTGTTGTATACAAGACAGTGTTTTTGAATCAATTTGATACTGTTCTGTTTTCAGCCTCTTAATTACTAATCAATGGGAAATTTCTCTTGTAAATGCCAGAATTTGCTGTAAAATACAAAACCAGAAGTAAATGAGTAGAAGCATGAGTCTATATTTAATCATGCTTTAATGAGCCTGAAGAATGAAAATTTATGTAGACTTTGCATGTTTTACCTTACAAATTTAAATATTGCCAAGTTTAGTTCCTGTATAACATTAATCTCTAAGCAATGTAATTTATTTTAATAGATAGATATATCTTATACTGCACATAACTGCAAAATAAAACAAGAAATGCTAAGAGAATTTGTGTATTTTAGTAAAGATTGCACTTTGTCAATATAGCCCTCTTTGTCTTTATTGACCAGTTCTTTAAATTGGATTATTCTGTAACAATGGAAGAGAACTATGTTATGACATAGTATGACAAATTTGTAGCCGCTGTTTCTGATTTCATATGAAAAGACATCCTATATTTGGCATTTATACTGAGAGATTTATTCCACGTAGTATAGAAATTGAGCAAAGAAATTAAAAAAAAAAGCCCTCTTGATGTCTTGTCAAGGCTTCGTGTGTGTAGTGAATGTCAAGGGACTGAAGGAGGCATTGAACTCAATGTGTCAAACAGATTGCTTTATGCTGGAAAATAATCTCAATAAGAGAATTTGCACTGAGTGCTTTTAAATTTGGTCAAGTGCTTCCATATCAGAAGTGGATTTTATCAACATTGTTATTTCTGTGCTTCAATTTAGGTCTTTCGTCAAATCAAACTAGCTGCCGTTTAGATATCTGAAATTGTAAAACTGTAACTCTGTGCATAGGAATGTAAGATGCTGTGATAATGCATCAGTTGAATGTGATAAACTCCTTAAATTTCTTGAAATTAAAATGAACAAATGACCATCACTATGATTTCTTCTAAGTCACAGAACTGTGACTTTTAATATCAGAATTGGATTTCCATTAGTGTAACATCACTAATGGTGAGTTGGGGGCTATATTAGCACTTCAGGAGAATTATTACAAATTTGAATGGTGTATGCATTCTATTTTAATTTTACATTTTAAATGAAAATCATTAAAGTCATGTTTTTTTCTTATTCTGTGGTTTTCTGTTAGGAGTGGGAGTGTCAGTGGCTTGACATTGAAGCTGATCCGCACATCAGTCATCGAGATGTTGGAGACCTTGTCTGATGATGACTTTGTAAATGTAGTTTCAGTAAGTATCTGCACCTTCACCACAGTTTGCATTGTCAACAAAATCATAAACAAACTATTTTCAATGCCAGATATGAAGGACTGGAGTATTAAGCTGCTAAGAGACTTAGAAACAAAATATCATCTTTGGCTGCATGTTTTCTTGTAAAGCAAAATGAAAATCGTGTACGTGTTCATATTTACATAATTGAATGAAGAACTAATAAGCAGTCAAAACAAAAGTTGCTTAAACAAACTTCCTTTTAGCCAAATTCTCTTTGGAGGAAGAATGATACCGAGAAGGTTTCTTTTTCCAGACCATAGACTTTTGAGTTGCTTATCTTAATTAATTCACTGTGACCAAAGAAGCATAGCCATAAACCACCAAAAATCTTGGTCAGTTCAACAGTTCAACAGTTGGCAATTTGATGGGTTGCAAGGTAATTTTTCCCATAATAGGTCATGTAATAAAAGGAAGTATCCATTCATGGTCTTAAAAATTCACAATATTTAAATGCACAGGGACAACACATGTGAAGTGTAGGTCAGAGAGGCAGAAAGAGAGAAGATTATCAAAWGAAGGAGAGGTTGGCTTTTCAGCAGCTGAGATACTTCACTACATGACATGATGKGAAACTTTATTACTTCACATAAGTACTGCACTTTAAACTTGAGCACTGAACTTAAAACTTTGGTTTCTTTAAAACAGAATTTTATAAGCGTTCTTTAAAAACAGGTGTTTTGGAAGAGCATTTCAGTCTTTTTCATACTTGGCTGTTGTTTAAAATCCAAATTTCTATTCTTCAAGGTATTAAAAAAAAAGAGAGAGATTTGAGGGTGGGAGAGAATGTACTATGGGCTAGTTTTGTTGGTTTAGTTTTGAATGGTATGGTCTAGACTCCTGCTTATTTTTTTTTCAGTTGTTGAACTGTATAACTTTGAGTCTAAGCATTTAGGATGGCAACACTGACATGCTGTTAATGACAGAAACAGTCTGCGTGCTGAGTAACGATGCAGTGATTTTGTAGGCATTTTTCAACTTCTATAGTTGTGTTGTAACGAACCTGCAGGGAGAAAGACTTGAAATACTGATATCAGAAATCTCTTTGTAAACCACTTATTGATTCCTCTTTCACTGTCAGTCTAGCTAGACCTATATCCTAGAAGTAAAGAAGAGCTTTAATTTGCAATGGCATTTCCTTTGGTAAAGTTTTTAATAGTGGATTAGATTATTTTCTTTAGTCTATGTTGTAGTGAAAAGAAATGAAGGTAATGTCTTTATTAAAGGAAAGATAAGCTTTTCAGTAATGATATTAGAGAGCTGAAATGTTGTTAGGTTCACTACTTCAAACAAACAAACAAACAACTCCCAAATTGGTGGCAATTGATTACTGTCTTCAGTGGAGCTATGACAGTTTTTGGCATAGGAAGATCTGGAGTCTGGCTATCCCCTGATTTGCAGAGCTTTCCAAAATCTTTCCTTCGTTTACTCCCCACTGACCTTGTTTTCATACAAAAAACTTACGTTTTTTGTTTTGTATAACCTGTACCACTCTTTGATTTTCTTTACATAATAGAAGTAAACATAGAAATTTATTCTTTTTTAGCCTTTTCTAAATCTTATTTTTTTCCACAGTCCAGCCAAAGACAGTGCTTTCAAATCTTACGCTATTTGTTCTCAAGTGTATTTATAGAAAAGTGTATTTATAGAAATATATTTCTCAAGTGTATTTATAGAAATATGTACACATGCATAACTGCTATAAAGTGTAATCCATTGCAAAGTTGCAAAGTTAATTTAGTTGCAGTACTTCTTACTTTTTCATGTATGCTGTTATGATGTAAATATTTGACATTTTAGATGAAACGTAATAGGTTAAAATTGTCAGAGCTCTGATCTGTCAGATCTTTATAAATGATTTATATAATTTTAAAAGGATTTCTTTGCAGGTATGAAATTTCACCTTCTTCATTTTGTTGTTGATTTTTCTCCACTTACCCTTGCTTGTATACTTTTGGAGAAAAGCCTAGTGATTCATGAGGTCGTTGTACAGTGCTAACAGTCATCTGAATCATTAATTTTAATCTAATCCTAAAATAGTCTCAATATGTCTTATTGAAATGATGTGAGGGGTCGTATAGAGGAATAATGATTCATACACAGAAAGGTCATCCCTTTTCTACAAATAGTATTCCATGACTAGTAATACACTCTAAATCAAGACCATCTCCAGTATGTCCTTCATAAAACCAAAGCCCCCCCAAAAACAATTTAAGAAAATTGGTCTAGATGGAAAAAACATACATTTGTTTAAAATGTTTCGTATTACTGCTTCGTGACATTTTCTCTTGAAGCATGCTAGTATTAATTAGGCATCAATGCCTAATTCAAAAGTTGAAATAAATAAGTGACGATGTTCAGGTAACATAATATTAGTGGATTCATTTATGAACACTAGCAGTAAATGGAGGTTTTCTACAACTTTTCTTTCCTCCCTAGTTTTTTTTGGCCAAAAAAGCAACAGTTGTTTTATGGCTTGTTAGATTTAATAACCACAGAGCAATTAGTAATAAGATTTGAGGTTAACTAGAGAGCTGTTCTGCAGCTCGCCTCTGCCAGAATGTTGTCCCACAAAACACATATGTGTGGCAATTCATGCCCACATATGAGACACAGATTTAAGCACTTGTCAGTCATTTTTAGAAAGTGACGGGGTGATTTAATCAACCATGTCTGGGATGTGGAGAAATCCTGGGGAACAATGAGCTTAAAAGTGATGTGCTAAGATATATTAGTTCTACTGATTTAATTTTTGCACTTACTTCTGTGCAGAAAGGACTGAAAAGAACTATTAAGTTGCATGAAGACTGCCAGGGGTTAATATGTCATGATTTCCTCTGGGATTTGCATTTTTCTTATCTGAAATGCTACACTTTGTTGCAGAAAGGAAACCTGCTGTTAGAAAGAGCTTAAAATGTATGAATAATACAGCYGTTTTCCCACTAATCCGGTTATATGCTTTGATAGCAGTAAGTGGTAGATGATAGGGGCAGCAGTTCCATCCCAGCACGCTATGATTCAGTGACTTGGTTTTGAATGTTGACACTGAGACTATAATTTGTTTATGATGGTGGGAACGCTGCAGTGTGCAGGAGAAACGTATTCCAACTTCAAGTCTGTAGAGGCGGGGAAATCACTCAAAGGGAAACACCAATGTAAAACCACAGACGTAAAGGCAGGAGCTGGAGGACTGCTTAGAATCATCACCCTTTGTAATAATCCAAACTACTACTTACTGTTTAGAAACTGGAAATTAGATGTTATGAGCATACTAGCAATAATGGCATCCAGGTGTCAGGAAATTGAAAGCTCGTCTCCAGCTTTTACGCAGTTCTTGTGTGCAAACTAAAATCAAAAGGAAGGATATCCAAGCTGAATTGTCTTCAAGGAAAAAAAGAACTATTCATCTAATCAATCAAACATTCTATTTTTCCACAGATTATGAATGGCAACTTATTGTGTAATTCCGATTGGTCAGTGAATGGCAAACTGTTCATTTGCACCCTTTACTCCCAAGTTAATACTAGCCTTCCTAATCATAATATCAGTTATGATTTGATTAACCTAATACCAGCTACCAGGATGTGTGGCAATGAGGTTTTCCAGCAAAAAGATCCTTTCCTTTTCAGATGCCTATTCCTTCCTGTATTCCACACTTCAGATTACATTTATATTCTCTTAGATTGAGGGATACACTCCCTCTTTCTACTGCCTTAAGAGGTATTTCTTAAGTGTGTCTGAAAACTTGGCAAATACAACATGTGGAGACCTTATCTGGAAGCACTACTGAAGGGAGGAGGATGCTAGACTTTGCAGCCTGTTAACATGCTAAGCATATGCTTTCTTTACTAGATTTAGATTTTTTGAGTGTATTTTATTTACTTCTATTCAGTTGGTAAAAGATTCCAGAATTGTAGTTTTTAAAGTTAAGTTGAGGCCAGTTTTCTTCATTAACTTACTTCCATTTAAAGATGTTTTAAAAAATAATTTTAAAATTGAAATTTTCTTTAAATTAAATTACAAATTAAAATTCACTAAAGATATATATTATTCCTCTGATTTTAAATTTTGACCCAGAAGGGATCGGTGGTGATTAAGAATTGTAAATAACATGACTCTCTGAGGAAGAAATGCAACATGTTAACAATATCAGGGTGAGTTACTGGCACTAATATGGCAGCAGGGTTGGATCTAGAGGAAGAACTGAATAGGTCGTCTGTATRAAGGAGCTTGCCATGGAGCTTGCCAGACTCACTAATGTTCTTCAGTCTTTGTTTTTCCATTTTCCACAGCAGACAATATTGAGGAGAAAATATAGATGTCTGCCATCTTTTCCATCATTTGACAAATTCAAAAAAAGAAAAAAGAAAGAAAGAGAAACTCCAGCTGTTGGTCTGCCTGACTGTCACTCGTATTGATTTACTCCTAGAGCATGCCAAGTAACAAATCACAGTAGCTACTATTAAGTATAGTGTCCTCAAAATCATAGCTCTGTAAGGCAATAAACAAATATATATTATTCTCTTTTCTTCTCAGTCAGTGAAAAGCAGCCTGAAACATGTTTAGAGATGAGCATGGAGCTTGGTGATTTTCTTATCCTTGAAACATCTAATTGTATCTTGACCTTGAAGTTTTTAAGTATAACTGCTCATTTTCAAGACAAAGGGGAACTATAGCTACAGAGGAACATACCTTCATGGGAGGATCTTTCGCGCTTCTTGATCATTATCTTCTTCTACCTTCCTATTCAGGGAACAAACTACTCCATATATTTTCAGAAAGGTATATTTTACGAGCTTTGCATGTGCAGGCATAAAGCAGAGCTTATAAACAGTATACATTCAAAATAATGACTCAAATGTTGCATTACTATTAATTTCAGGTAGACCTATACTAGATATATTTGTAAATAGATGTATGGAGAATATCTCTGGAAGACATGTAGAGCAGATGTAACGAGG